TTCGCCGGTTCCCGCCTCCTTCTTCCCGTGACTAAGAACTGTGTTTACAGATGGATAGAAAGATAGATGGATGGATGGATGGATAGATAGAAAGATAGATGATGGATGGATGGATGGATAGAAAGATAGATGGATGGATAGATAGAAAGACAGATGATGGATGGATGGATAGAAAGATAGATGATGGATGGATAGATAGACAGATAGATGGATGGATGGATGGATAGATAGAAAGATAGATGATGGATGGATGGATGGCTTTGTTAATCAGCTCGCGCACATCAGCTATACAGGCGTTAATACTGAATGTTTAACATTATATTCATTGCATACATATACTTCGTAGTAGACATCCATAACTCCTTTCTGCTGTCTGTTGTCAGTGTTTCTTTGTTTAAATATGGCGCTTATCACATGCTGTGTGGTATCGGCGTTTGGTATCGGGGCATTTTAACGAGTACGAGTACGAGTACAGGAGGCCAGTATCGGGCCCGATACCGATACCAGTATCGGTATCGGTGCATCCCTAATTAATTTATAATATATACTGTAATTATAATAATAATTTTATATATAAAATATAATTTATAGAATTTTAAATAAAATTTATTATTATTATTGTCGTTGTTGTTGTTTTTGTTGTTTATAAGAAACATTGCAAAATGTAGTTTCAAATATTTCTTATTTTTTATTCAAAATAATTTATTTTTATTTCAAATATTTTTCTATACAATCTTTTCTGTAAAAATAATTACTTTTATATAAATATGAAATACATTAAATGAAATGGCAAAGTATCATTTCATGTATTTCATATTATTTATGACTTAATTTGTGTGTGTATACATTTTTTTACATTTTTATATATACAGTGCAATTTCATATACTTCATAACTTCATAATACATATGACATGGTTTATATATTTTTTTATGTTTAATTCATTAAAATAATACTTTAATATTTTTGTAAAACAGTAATATCTATCTATCTATCTATCTATTTATATATATAGAGAGAGAGAAATTTTAAACAATGTAGTTTCATATACTTCATAATTACATCACATGGTTTATATATTTTTTATATTAAAATGTAATATATGTAATATATAAAATGTAATATATATGCATTATTTATAGAAAACAGAAATAATAATAATATTAATAAATGTTATAAAGTTTCACACATATATATATATATATATATATATATATACATATATACATATGACACAGAAATATACAAGCATACATAAAAAATAATACAAAATTTCATGGCCAACAGGAAATATTTCTGGAATTTGTTACCATTGGCAGGTGTGTACATTTTTGACCTTGGTTCTGGTGAAACTCATGGACTGTTTGTTTTCAGTGCTGGGTCGATGTTACCCAAACTCTCAGACAGCTGGCAGAAACACTGTGTTTAGGGTTCATGGTAGGTGATGTGTAACAACCAGCAGCGCTTTGAGCTCACAAATCATCAGTGTGAACAGCAGCCCTCGTTTCCAAACACTCCCACCGTCTCCGTCTCTACCTTTTTTCTCTCTCTCTCTCTCTCTCTCTCACACACACACACACACACACACACACGCGTGT